GATAAAATGACTGCGTTTATCCTTAAAATTATATTTTGATTTTTATCCATCTTTTAGCATTTTTAGCATATATACGTGTCAGTGTAGGAATGTATTGAAACCACAAATACGTTGGTTGATGGAAAAATTGGATGAAAAGATGTTAGGTGACAAAATATTAATAGGATTAAGATATTTTTAATCTTTTTAAGTTTCAAGAGTGAATTAAACATTTGAAAAGTTGAAGAACTAAAAATAGTTATTTTTTTTTTAAGTTTAAATAATAAAATGAGCTAATATTTTGAAATTTGACCAAAATATAAAATTTTTTGAACTTCTAGATTGAAATGAAATTTAGATCTATTATTTATTGGTTTGGTATTATTTAGCAATTATTTACTCAAAGTTAGTTCAAAAACTTAGAAAAAAATATATAAAAGGGATGAGGGAAAGAAGAGGCCTAGAAGAACAATGATCTAAAATGTTATAGGGCATATTAAATAGTTTAACTGAAAATAAATCGAGAACATTTTTTGGAGTGGTTTTCGAACTTTCAATTCATTCGCATGATATTTTTTTTAATTGCTGAAATTATTGATGTTAATAACTAATGATTTTAATCAATATCCGAGCTAAAAATTAAGACGGCCTTACCTAATAACTTGCAAAGATAATTAAGGCAGGATTGGATTAAAAAATCCAAATTTCTTTGATATGTTTTTATAATTTAAAAAAAAACATTTGAACTCTTACCTAAATTTCAAAAAATAAAAAAAATTTAATTTTTTCAAAACTTTTTCTTTTTAGTTTTTAAAATTTGCTTTAAATTTAAAAAATGTATAAAAGTAGATACAAAATAAAGAAAAACGGAGAAAAATGTAGTAATTTTATAAGTTTAATTTTTAAAAACATAAAATAAAAAATAAAATTACGTCTAAAATATTTCAGAGTTTGACGATGACAGTTGACCTGATAACTTAATTTTATTAAATAACGAAAGTTTTTTTTTCTTTTGAGAAAAAATCACGAGAGTTATTAGTCAGGGAGAATTGTAATAAAGACAAAAACCAAAATTCCTTGAGAAAGTTATAAGTTGTGAAACTTTTGAACATTCCACTATTCAATTGAAATTAATTAAGTTTATTTTTTTATTATTATTATTTTTTTTTTGTAACGAAATCAAAGTGAATTAACTATAGTCCATGTGAGAATCACATGATCATCCTCCAAAAGTAGTTGTGAGGACTATAAACAATTATTTGGAGGAAATAGCTCAATGTTCATACGAATCTTTTTATTAAAATATTTTTTAAATGTTATTTTTATGTATTTTTAATTTTTGTTAATTTTAGTACATATACTTTTAAAATCTCTGTTTTGATCCGTGTAATTTTAAAAATAATTATTTTTTTCTAGTTACAAAATTTTGACACAAATTGTATACACATTGAAGCTCTTTTAATACAAATGTATGGCTATATTCATATTACTAAAAATTTTTAGAGATAAAAATAAAAATGAAAGAACCAAAATAATCACTTTTTCGAAGTAGATTGACAAAAATGAATGTTTCAAAAATACAAATAATATACTGAACAAAAAGTTAAAGATATAGAACCAAAATGGACGTTTGAAAAATACATCAATTACAATGAACTAAAATCGAAAATAATGAGACAAAAAGAATATTTAAACTGAAACTTTTGAACTATGATATATACTCTTAAAACCCTTTTACATTCTAAATACTATTAAAAGAAATTATACTTGAAAGGTTAATATTTTCCAATGACGTGTCAAATAAATTGTTGACATCAAAAAAAGGTTTCACCTATAAAACTAGTATTTAAAAAAAAGGAGAAAAAAGGGAAAATGTTATCGAACTTCTTTTATGCCATATGAAAAAATTGGAAGAATTAGGGTAAAATGAAGAAAAATAATAATAATAGCGGTCAGAGAGCACATTCGGGACACTAACGCCGTTTATAATGATGAAATCCGTAATTAATTTTGGGCGAGAAATATTCTCATTGACCAAACGTGAAATAACGGGAAAGGTGGAAGGCTAATCTAGTCATTTCAAAAATTCCAGCGTGTTGAGTTGTAAAATCCACTTTTTTTTCTTTTTTTTTTCTTCTGTCTGGAAATATGGTGGGCGTTGACTAATTTAATTGGATGCCCTTATTTTCCGAATTTTGGTTGAAAAAAATCGATTTCATTAAAAGTTTCGTTGGTAAAAGGGTCGACACGTGTTCTCAAACGCGAGTACTTGATACTTTGCAAAGTGACATCCATGTCCCACGTGCCACCCCACAAAAACCAAAACAAAAATTATCTTTTTTTTTCTTTTCTTTTTTCTAAATCGAAGTTTAATAATTTGAACTAATAAAAATCAAAATAAAAAATTGTAAGTCTTATTTGATAATAATTTTATTATTTTTTCTTTTTTAATAGAAAAAAATCTAATCATTTGAATTCAAGTCCTATTGATTTTGATTTTTCTAAAATAATAAATTTTAGATTTTTTTTTCTTTTGGTCAAATAAAAATAAAAACATAGTCAAAATTAAAAATTAAAAACTTAATTTTAAAATTTAGACATTAAAGAACATAATATTAATTAAATTTATAATTTAACTAAAAGTATATGTTTTTAATATAACAATTTGGAGTGGTGTTTCAATCTTATCTGAATTATACTCGAATGAAGAAAATATTTTATTTTGTGGCTATTTTTATATGAAATCATATTTAAAGAATAAATATAAATTTTTAATAGACAACTTTTACTCTGTTTTCTTGTTCTTCTTTGAGTTAAAAAAATAACTTTTAGTTACAATTTCAACATCTGAATATAAATCTAAATCTTTAACCTTCCTTTCCATGTCAAACTTTTTAGTTTTCAAGGTTACATGTGAAACTGCGTCGTTTTCCAACATTTGACTAAACCCTTTCTTTGTCCACAATTATGCTTCCAAAGTGGACTTTTTGTAGCATTAGGTTATAGAACTTATTAATGTGACTCATATTTACCTTTGTTGAAAATTATTGTTAAAGTATATTATTTAAGCAAAAGTTTCAAAAGAGAAAAAATTTATTCTCCCATTTACCCTTATAAATCAATAATTTCATACATCTAAGAGTTGAATACATATTTGAAAAATGTCAATAACTAACTAAATTGAAACATTTTCAATAGTAGTTACTAGAATAACGAAAATACAGCCGTCAAAATAAACATAACTCAGTGGTATTTGACATAACGATCCTATTTTAATCCATGTTATCTCAATTTTTATTCATTTTAATCTATGTACTTGAAAAGTATCCGTTTTAGAACCATATTTTTAAAAAGCAACCAATTTGATCCCTATTGCAAGATGTCAACACAAAATTTATATAAAATGGAAACCTTTAACATAAATTTATGGGTAGATTTCAAGAAATTAAATGAGTAAAATGTTATGCTAAAATTTTAATGCAAATAAATGAGAGAATGACTTTTAAAATATATAGAGACCAAAACCAACCTTTCAAAAGTAAATAAACCAGATGAAAGAAAGGTTAAAATATAAACATCAAAATAAAAAGTTTTAAAAATACTATTACATGCGGAAAAGTCTTAAATCTAATGATTAATGTAGAAATGGGCAGTTTTATTTGAATATTACCCAAAGAAACACATTAAAAAAAAAAATTTGTAGGTAATGGGCTGCTTTTATGCCAACCAAACAATGGGTTTCAAAAAGAGTTGAGTTTTGCAATGAGGGTCTCTGTCTTTATTATTTTGCATTAAAAATTAATGGACCCCAATTGGGATTTGATTCTGATGGATTTCTTATGCATTTACACATAAAATCCATTTTGAATTTTATATAGTTTTGTAATCAAACACAATACAATATCAAATAACAACAAAAAATACAAGCAAATTTCTTCTCCATCAAACTCCACACGCAACATCTTCCACAACTTAATTTGACATTATTATGATCAAGATTGTTCTTTTAAGTAAAATTACTTTGGAACGAACCACTAATTAATAGTGTGTTTGGGATGACATTTGAAGAAAATATTTTTTAATTAAAAACTAGTTTTCTACCTGAGCTTTTGGAGGAATTATTAATTTATGGTGTATTTAGTATAATTGCATTTTTTATGTAATGTTAGATGACTAGAATAATTTTTTTAAAAAAAATCAACTTTGTTTGTTTTTTGAAAAACATTTTTAAAAATGAAATTGTTTTAAAAACTCTTTAAAAGATTCGTGAGACTCGTTTCAAAAAAAAAATAAATAAATAAAAATAAAGATTCGTGAGACCCATCCTCAAAGCTTCTTCTAAAAGCTTTTTTTTTAGTGTTTTAAAGTAATTTTAAAGATTTTTTAAAATCTTTTTTAATTATCTAATCAGATACTATACAAATTCTAAAAAAATGCTTCCAATGGATCTAATAAAAGCACCTTTTTACCCTTTTAAAATCACCCTTTAGCATTAAGAATTTCGCCTCAAATTTTGTTTTGGATCAATTAGTAACCTAAGGTGAACTTATCCTAAGTAATTTCAGAAAACGACAAAAATGATTTCAGTATGAGACAATCACTTCTAAACATGCTCTAAAAAAATAATCTCGAACAAATTATTATCTGACCAAAATCAAATTTCGTTGGTAAAAATCCTTTTGGAGGATATTAACAAAATGATCTTGATTAACAAATAGGAATTTGGCCATTAGATAAGTTAAAATATATTGGATGGGGACCTTAAAATAAAATGTCAATATAAACAGTATATGATAGGACATAGATCTAGATTAAGTAGTGGAAAATGACCTATGTGGCTCCAATAATTAAGGCCTACAAAGATCCAAAAGTGGTGGTCTTGAGCATCTTATTTACAACCAAACACATTCATTCATATTTGAATTGAAAATGGAAGCAAATGAGTGATTGAATTCTTTAACCCACATTGATTTCTCTGCTACAACACTACATGGCACATCAATCATGTCGAGAGAGAAAAATGGCAAAATGAACCTTCATGTTTCAGGTTTCCATTTTTAAGGAACATTTCTACAATTGTGTCAAAATTTTAAAAAGAAAACGGAACATTACCAAACTGAGAGTAAAACAATATACACAAGGTAGCAACAGCATTCGATTATAGTAATTCACATTGGAGCAGCTACTCAAACTAACTTCAGAGAAGAAACACAATAACAAAAACTACTTCAGTAGCTTTTTAAATTAAATGGCAAAAATGAACTAATAAACATAAAAGCAAGGCTAAAAATGCTTCAACCACGATGATAATTTAGATGAACAAACCTGCACATTTACGGGCGAGCCTTAATCTTGGGTGTCAAAAAGTTCTCATTCCCCTACTAATTGTGATATATAAACACGATATGGATCAATGTTTCTATTGGCAGCTACTTCCGAATTCTTATTCCAGGTATATCTTTCAAACCCATCTTTAGGGCTGTCTTCCTAAACAAAGCAGGTGGCTTTTGCAGACCGATCGACTCTGAAAATTGCTTGCCAAGCTCTACAAGAGTAGTCTTATCCCTGCCAATTTCCCTGATTGAATTGTAATAACCTAGCCATGCGTGATATGCACCTTCTTTGATGGAGGTATCAATCTTTGCCATTGATTCCTCTACCTGCAAGAACACACATTCATATCATATCATATAACGTGCACGAGCTTGTGTTCAAGGTTTATAAGTTATTTTAGATTTGATTTCAAATCATAGGGCTGAAAGGGAGAGAGAGAGGAGAGAATGTTTGATAAAGATCAAAGGTCGTTTATGTATTTACAACAGATGAAAAATCATTAATAAGATTATATTTACCTTAATTCGATAGTTTAAAGTTCAATCCTATCCCATTGTTAAGGGCATAGAACCTTATGGTATCACCTATTATGAGATCTTGTTTTCAAACCTATAGGTGAACTTAGTACCAAAAACACTTGATGTCTCTCAGGCACGAGCCTTGGGGTAGGGATGGGTGTGCCCAATTATAGGGGTAAAAAGCTATCGATTCCGAGTTTTGAGAAAGTTTTGAGAGAGGAGGAAAAAAAAAAGAGTAGTCCTAAGTTTAACCTACAAAAATTTTGAGAATACGTTAATAAGTTGAGCTTTTGAGACTTTTAGTATTTCAACATTGTGCAAATAAGGCTTCTTATTATATTTCCTCATGGATTTCTGAAATTTGGAAGTCCTCTTCATCTCTTTTAATGGCTCAATGAATTTCACTAACTCGTTTTAATATCTACCAAGGCTAATACAACAAAATTTTCTGTACAAACAATAAAAGATATGATTGCGTCAAACAAAAACCTTTAGCTTTAAGTCTGAATCCAACTGGGGCAGAGGGCATCTTTCAAGAGGCAGATCTTTTAACTCATCCAGGAAATATTGCTCCCATGGTGCAATCAACAAGATACCTTGACCTTCCTTGCCTTCACGTCCTGTTCTTCCGAGACGATGGATATATTGCTCCCTGTCAGATGGTATGCCCACCTGTATATTCCCATAATTGCATAACAATTAAATTTTACTTGAAATTATTATGAAAATTCTGCCTCATTTAATGTAAATAACAGCTCTATTCTGCAGTTATCATAGTATAAAAGTAAAAGCAATACTTTTTGAGAGATGTATAAACCCTTTAACCAACGCTAAAGTTAAGGAAAAGTCATTTGTTCAGCAAGCAATCCAGAACTATTTATCACCAGTGCTTTATCATACCTGTATGACCAAGGTAACATCAGGGTAATTCATACCACGAGCTGAAACATCAGATGTAACAAGAATGAGCTGTCTTGACTGTTTGAATTCATCTGAGATACGTGTTCGATAAAGTTGAGGCTTCCTGGAGTGCATCTCTCTGACATTCATTTTCATTTCCCGGAAAAGAACGTGGAAGAGTGATGTTACCATCCCTGTTGTACAGAAAACTATAACCTGAGTGGAAGTAAGAGGTCAGTCTACCCTCTCTACGAGCAGTTGAATACAAGCATGTCACATTAACAGAAAGAGAGAGGGAGAAAGAAACTATCCAATCAACCTTGTAATCGGGAGTGCACAAGATATGTTTCTTCAAGAGATGGCATACAATTTGAAAATGAGATTCGTGTGGTGCAATAAGACATGACTGCCTGACCTGCACTTGGGAAGTTGAAAATATTAGTCTTTCTTTTTGATCATTCTTATTGTAGGAAGCAACGCTTGGAGAAAGGAAGTTTCAAGTGATGTTATCTTGATTTACCTGAGTAGGAGTTTCCACACAACCAAGGCCCACGGTGTCCACAAAAACATGTTCCCTTTTCAAAACTAGCTGCGATATTCGACGAACCTGCAAGTCCATAATCATAACAAAAATTCAATGAGAATTTTAAAATAAAGATGACTTCCTCTCAAACTTGAATAAAAAGGAGAAAATGGCCTTTACCTCCCTTGGAATAGTTGCAGAAAACAACAATGACTGCCTTTGGCGGGGCAAACAGTCAACAATTTTCTCAATGTCCTTTCGAAATCCCAAGTCCAATAAGAGGTCAGCTTCATCAAGTATAAGCATTTTCAATCCCATCAGTCGCACAGACAAGCCAGACTTATTCTCAACATGGTCCAGCAATCTACCAGGAGTAGCAACAATAATCTGCAAAGAATCATGAAATAAGGTGAACGAAAGATGATAACAAAACAGTTTGTCAAATACAAGACAAGAAAGAAGAAAGTTTCTTTTTCCAAACAGCCATTACACAAGGGAAAAAAAACAACAAAAAATGAACATCTTTAGACAGGTATGCATACGGAGTAGAACCTGGCTGGGATCTGATTCTAGTCGTTTCTGATCATCTTTAAATCGAGTGCCACCAACTAAAGTTTGCACTCCTATGCCATCATGGTACTTTAGCATGACAGTTGCTTCTGCAGCAATTTGACTAGCAAGTTCCCTGGTGGGGCAGAGAATCAAAACGAAAATTGGAGGCACCCTTTGACTACTGCTGCTACATGCAGCCTTCAAAACTGCTTCAATGGCAGGAAGCTGTTTATGTTTAATAACAAAGTTGAAAAAAAGAAACCTAATACACTAAAAATTCAGTTTTAAGAAGAAATAGGAATGTACCAGAAAAGCAACACTCTTTCCACTGCCAGTTTTCGACTTGACCAACGTGTCCTTACCTGCAATAATCAAAACCATAATTATAGTTTGTCAACCTAAGATTTGAAACTATGAATTTCCTTGGCAACGAAATGTTGTAGGGTCAGGTAGTTATTGTTGTTCATAAGATTAGCTCACGGGTATTTAAGAAAAGATTAAGAAGCTTTAGGAGGTGTTCAAGTTGAACTCTGCTTTCAGTCAAAGATCTCCTAAGTTCTACGGTTAGTTCTAAAAGGACAAAGCAACAATTATTCGAGTTCCAATAAAATCAGTGATAAAACCTCAGATGGATCTCATACCTTCAAGGCAATGAGATAGAGTAGCCTCCTGTACTCGAGTCATTTGAACATATCCAGCAGAGGAAAGCGCTTTGACTGTCAGTGGAGATATGCCACACCCATCAAATCTGATAAAAACAAGGAGAAAGAGAATCACGCGTGCATTTATTTACATGAATTTGATTCCCAAGAATGTGGCAATCCGCCATGAATACCTTTTCTGAGTAAAAATTATCTCCTCGCTCTTCTCACCGTGGTCTTCAGCTGCATTCTTCTTTCTGAGTTCATGTCTAAGCAACTCAACTTGCTCGGCAAAATCACTTTCTTCATCATATGCTTTTGGAGGCACCCTCCTCTTCATTTTCATATCGCATTTCCCCAAGGAAGCACTACTCCCAGTTCTCAAATCTTTCCAACTTCTCGATTCCTTATCCACATTACCCAATTCTTCTTCTGAATCATCGTCGCTTGTTGAACCCCCATTTCTCCAAAATTTTATCTTCCTCTGTGCTACGGCCTTCCTGTCATTTCTAAGATTGTTAAGATCTCTTGATTTCACATTTTTATCAGGGCTAGGGGCTAACTTATGCGCGAAAGGTTTTATCGAATCGACACCTGAGTTATAATTTACGTCATCGTCACTTGATGAACTCTCATTTCTGCGGAAGCTCCTTCGAATTTGCACCGAGTAGCTCCTACTCTTCAAATTATCACCATTTACCTTTCCAAAACCCATATTTCGGGGGCCTCCCAATACATCATCTTTCTCCGTTAACAGCTTTTTGACGTCAACAGGCGATCTAATCGATCCAATCCGACCTGGTCCTCCGCGCAAATGGGGCCTCGGTAGTGGAGTCTTCAACGGACCATCATCTTCATTCCACAAATCMATCGCTCCCTCCTTCATGAACCTGTTAGCTAGGGCTTTAATGTGCTCGCTGGGGCTCATAGGGGAATAACTGGTAGAAGGATCCGAATTCGATGAAGTATCAGGCACACCAGCAAGCTTGCAGCGTATTTCGGAACGAACTCGAGCCTGGTAAAGCTGCTTCTCCTGATCAAGAAGCCTTTTCTCCTTCTCTTTCGCTCTTTTCTCGTGCATCCGCTTCCATTGCCACTTGTTGAGGCCTCCAGGGAAGGTCCGAGGACCGCCGCCCATGGACCGTGAGAAAATGAGCTTACATAGAAGGCTCGAAAAGGTCTGGTGACGCTGTAGAAGAACCGACGAGGTCATAACTCCGGCGGGAAACAGAATTTAGAGGGAAGGACTGTGGGGGTTTAGGGTTTAACGAGAGGATGCTTGAGGAAGAAGACGATAGCGGAAATATTAGCTCATAAGATTTTTTGGCGTTCTGATATAATATTGGGCCAAATCAACTCAAGCCCGGGCCCGTTTCTAAGCCCAAAGTCAGATAAGTAAATAAAAATAAAATATTAACTAAACAATATTTAAAATCTCTTACAATATTTATATAAAGTAAAATAATTACATTCCATGAATATTTTGATTTTTCTTAATATTCCATCACATAAAGGGGGATTTGTGTAGGTTCTTAAAATAAATAAATAAATAAAATATTACCGTAATGGTTAAGATTATCTTACTTATTATCTAGAAGTCGAGTCGTAGTTTCAAATCTTCATCCCTAATCACTTATCGATATCGATTTGAGGTTTTGGTTGCATAGGACAACGTTGAAGTTTTTAGATTTATTCAATTACTTCGAATTCCTCTTACACTTCTTCAATTTTATGGATATAGCACACTCTTCATCAATATATATTTTTTTAGTACAACAAATAAGAATGAGAGGTTCAAACTCATGATCTTTTGATCAAAATATACGTTAATTATCGTTAAACTAAGCTGATGTTAATATTATCCATAAATATTTAGATCATTCATTTCATGTCATAAAATCATGCGGGTTAAAATGAATATAAGATAAAAGAAAATATCTATTATTTCATTGAAAACAGTTTTAAATTACCGGCCACCGGCTGTCTACTGCCATGTATTTTTTTCTGTTTTGCTTCGGTGGGGTTTTTTTTTTTGTTTTTTTTTTCTGGCGGATAAACGCCGAGCTCAAAAACTCAGCCCCGTTTATCTTCATACTCGCACCTCTTTAACAGCTCAATCTCACAGCAATAATCAGCTAAAAATTCAAACCTCAGCTCACCGGAAGTTGTAATCGGAAAATCATTGAGTTGAATGACTCCGATCACTATCAAGCAAGTGTAATTCTCACTACTATTCCTTTTCCCAAGAAATGGACGGTCGCGCTCTCACGGCCTCTTCATTCTTCACCTGCATTGATTTATTGCGACCTAGAAGAGGAGCTGTTAGAAATCTGTGTGTTAATGGCAGACCCAGTAGGTTTTCGGTTCTTGCTTCCAAAGAAGAGGCTGAGCTCGACCGTTGGGACCAAATGGAGCTCAAGTTCGGCCGCTTGATTGGGGAAGACCCCAAATTAACATTAGCCAAGGTCTCTCCCTCTCCTTTATCTCTTTAGAATCATCGTTATCGAAGGTTTCTAAAATTATATTGAATTGAAAGTAGTGGCCGGAGCTGAGGCTCGTGTTGAAGAGTATGAATACTAAGACTAAAATTTACCGTTGGTTAAGTGATGGCTTACCATAGTAGAGTAATGTTAGTTCCTTTTCGATTAATATTGATAATTACTTGTTGGACTTGTACAAATTGGAGCGTTAAAAAATATGAATGGAAGATTAAAATTTATGCTAATCTATCGGCTTGAGTTTTTGGGTAGCTTGTTCTGACCATATTTTTGTTCGTGGCTTGAAATTATGGTTTACTATGTGTCTAATCTGTTCTGTTCTTTTCACGGTGAATTCCTACTCTTATATCTAAATTGTTGGTATGTGTGTTGATAAGTCAGATAATGAGCAAAAAGATGAATCCGGATGCTTCTTATCTTGAAGTTGAGAAATCGTTTTACCAGAAGAAGGGTAAATCCAATGAGGTAGAGGAACTTTCTCTTGATGGTTTGAATTTGATCAGACCTCAGTTAAAGAAGCAAATGAAGTTAAAAGCTGCCGGTAAGCCACCTCCATCAGATATAAAGAAACCAAGCCAAGCAGTTGCAAAGGCAGCAGTTAGTCCTAAAGGTAGAGTTCCTAATGTTATTTTGAGAAAGCCAACTATCTATAACGAGGATGATGTCGAAGATAAGCCGTCCAGGATAAGAATGAAGCCGAATTTATCGTTGAATATGAACAATGGATTGACAAAGGAGAAATATAGTGACATGACACTGTTGAGGAAGCCTGAACCAATGACGTCAGATGAAGCTATTGAAAAGAAGGAAAAGCCCTCTGGCGATGAGTATGTTGATATTGCTCAGAATATCAAATCTCAAGCTAGTAAGGGATCATCAAGCGACCCAGTTGATGATTTTACTCTCTCTAAGAAGCCAGAAATAAGAGGTGACGAAAGAAGGCTTGGAAATGAAAATGATGGTAAAAATCTTGTGTATTCAGAAAGTGATACTATTGATGGTAAAAAAGAAAATTACATTGAAAACCTGTACATCCTAAAAAGGCCTTTAAATGTCATGTCTGGTAAGTCTGGAGAAACTGAAGAAGCCACATCGTCAACGGAAAACAGGCAAGATATTGATGATTTTGCTCTAGGTATACTCTATTTAAAGTGTTTCCCTTTCAACTTTATATTAAAAGTTACAACATATGTTATTAGTTAAAATTGAGAAAATTTCAATTTGTTTGGTTGTCTGAAGAATTACAGCCACACGAGCCAAGTAATATGAAATATGATGAGGACCCAGCAGCTCCGAGTGAACCATTTAGTGATATTTTGGATCCATCGGTAAAGTTGTCCATCGAAGCTAAATTATTGGGTAAACCAGAAAGGTAGCAATTATAGTTTTATGTCTGTAATATCCCGTTTCTTTTATAACCAAATAAATTTTATTGAATAGAACTGTAATACAGATTAGATCATTATTCAAATGAAACATTAAAACTCAGTACAGAAGAGGCAGTTGTAGCCACCCCTGAAACTGATGTCAATAGCGCTGTTGAGACACAGAATTTTTCTGCTATCCCAGCTTTGAAGGTCAGGATATGCATGTTATTGTTTATGTTCCTTATTTATTTCAATCATTAGTCTGTAAATCCCAGGTGCAATATTTTTGTAGGAACATGAACTTGCTGACTGGACTAGAGCAGAGGATCTGGCTAAGATGGGAGACAGAGCTGAAGTGGAAGTAATAAGCTCGAGTACCCGAGGTTTTGTTGTAAGTATATTATGGTCAGTACATGTGCTTAATCTAGCTTGTATTGGAAGTTAACATTTTTCATTTTGATGTTACTTTTTCTCGACTGCATTTGTGAAGGTATCATTTGGCTCCCTAGTAGGATTTATTCCATATCGTAATCTTGCTGCCAAGTGGAAGTTCTTAGCTTTTGAGTCGTGGCTAAGACAGAAAGGTTTGGATCCATCAATATACAAGCAAAACTTGGGAACCATTGGAAGTGCTGATAGTGGAAGCCAGAATTTTTCTAGTACTAGGCCGGATTTAGAAAAAGATGTAAAAAATGGGGGAGAACTTACACCTGATATGAAATTGGAAGATCTTCTTCAAATTTATGACCGAGAGAAAATCAAATTCTTGTCATCATTTGTTGGGCAGGTATAGAAGTCTTCCTTAATTTCAGGGAACACAACTTTATTCATGGTAGAGTACTGACAAATTGTATTGCTTGCAGAAAATCAAAGTAAATGTGGTGTTGACTAACAGAAAATCAAGGAAGCTTATATTTTCCATAAGGCCGAAAGAAAGGGAAGAATTGGTCGAGAAAAAGAGAAGTTTAATGGTTAGCTACCTAATCTTGTTGTAGCATTTCTTGGATGCTAGAATCAAGAATGTTCGATTCAGTCTTTTAACTCATTATGCTTGCAGATAATTAATCTTGTTTTCTCTGGCTTTTAACATTATTAAGAAGATTTCATGCAATGCAAGAAACAATTAGCATTTTTGAGATCAGCACTTCTCTTTTGATACATAACAATATTCCTTTATTTTGTAGTTGAAATTTCCATTACTTCACATTCCACCTTCTACACATCTATTTCACGGTTGAAGCACATACCAAAATAAAACTTGGCACTGATAAATGTGGAAATGCTTCAAGTAGCTGAATTCTACATTTCTAAATTTGGTCATAGGCTTCATTTTTTCATATTCTCTGTGTCTATGTTCTTTGTTACTGCTAATCTGTGGCACAAACTCTTGTATTTTCAGTGCTGATTAATATTTTTGTCTTCTATATAAAATCAAAGGTTTGTGGTGTGGTGCTCTTGTTTGAAGATAAATTTAAACTCTTATTTAATTGCTTTTCCAGGCTACGCTGCAAGTAGGTGATGTTGTCAAATGTTGCATCAAGAAGATTGCTTATTTTGGCATCTTTGTTGAGGTAAACAGAAGATTTTCCTGTCAACTGTGAGATTTTTTTTTCACACCGTATAATGGGTACAACAGTGTGGTGTGGTGCATTCTTTGAAAAATATAGTTTATAATGAAATAGTTGGTGGTTCGTTTCCAATTGGAAATAAACATTCTTTGGTTCAAGTTGCTCTTGAAGACACATTTAGTTGTATTACTGGTTATATATGTTTCTAAATTTTGAGATTTTTATATAGATTGAGGGAGTGCCCGCTTTAGTTCATCAGACAGAGGTGTCCTGGGATGCTACCTTAAACCCTGCATCATTCTATAAAATTGGTCAGGTATTTGTCGTCATACTTTGCCAAATATTCTTATTTCCATTAAATAATAATAAAGAAAAACTAACAGAAAATTGGCTGCTGTCAAGATTAATTTCATTAAGAGATCATTTAATGAACCACACATATGTAGGATGATAAATCTAATATGACCCTACCCACTCGATTACAGAAGTTTTAGAGTCAAGTTGCAATTTCTCTGCTACTTTTTTTTTCTTTGAAAGTATTACATTACACCACAAATTTTGGGGAGGGGAAAATTGGGGCTTAAACCCCTCCCACGGAGGGGGAACATGGCCACCAAACCTATGAGCTACCTATGGAAGCTCATAAATCAAACTTTCATTTTCCTCTTTTTTTACCAATATATTTTTGTCTCCTTATCTTACTTTTGTAGGTTGTCGAGGCAAAAGTTCACCAGTTGGATTTTTCACTTGAACGCATATTCTTATCGTTGAAGCAGATTACAGTAAGATGCGTTCACATATTACAAACATTTTATATAGTTTTAGCAACTGTTCTGAGTTGAATGCTTGTTTTTCTTTATGCAGCCAGATCCACTAACTGAAACCTTGGAGTCTGTGGTTAGTGATCATGATCCCATGGATGGAAGATTAGAATTAGCAGAAGTAGATACCGAGGTGTTTGTATTCTCTTGTTAATCAGCATTATAAATTCTTTCATCGGTGATTATCTCATAATTTATCATCGGACTAACAGTCACCTTTGTGCATTTAAGAAAGTTTTACATAGTATCTCTCCAATTTTTCATACATTCTTACGGTTCTGTGAAGCATGCCAATGCTAGAAAACGAGCATCAATCCACCCAATTATCAATCTATTTCTCTTTCCAACCATTATCAAGGGAGCATGAATTCCATGTTTCCAAATAAAATCTGGAATGCCAATGAATCATCGTAGAACTCATAAAACTCTTACAAATTTTGGTTTGTAACTTCTATTGCCTTGTTTGATAATATCCTTGCAAGGAGTAGGATGAAACGCAGCTGATTAAATTGAATGTGAAATATCAACTTTTCTCGTTTGACTTACTTTGGAAGTCTTTGAATTGTTTTCCCTTACAAATTCTATTTTGGATAGTGGGCTGATGTAGAATCTCTCACCAAGGAACTGCAAAATATTGAAGGTGTTGAGGCTGTATCCAAAGGGCGTTTTTTCCTTAGCCCTGGCTTGGCTCCAACCTTTCAGGTAAAAGGAAAAAAGAAAAAAAAACAAAATGTTTGTGGGTCCAAGGAAAGCATATCAAACTAAATGATTCTTACATTTTGTGGCTCATTACTATCATTGTTTATCTGGAAACCCGAATATATGTAATCCATTTAGAGTAACTTTAGACCAAGAAAATTCTGTGCTCTTAAAAATTATAAGAAAAACTCTCCTTATTTTATTCCAAGCTTCGTGTGATCTATAGTCTATGTGGTGAATGAGTAAAGTATTATCTAGTCTATATGGCTTAAGCACAGCTCAGTGTCACGGATCATTTTCTAAACTTTCCATTTGATGCAGGTTTACATGGCTTCCATGTATGAAAATCAGTACAAATTACTTGCTCGATCTGGAAACAAAGTACAAGAGGTAAATATTCAGAAACATTACTGTTTTTCCATTGCCAAAAAGTCACTAAAATTCTTATGAAACTTGGGATTGGAAGTCGATTTGTTTAATCTAGGTTTGTGATAGAACTCAATTCTATTATTGATGTTCAAAGAGAACAAAGAGTCAAGTGAAAAGAGCTCCAACTCAAACAGATAATTCTTTACTGATAATTACAAAACAACTTCAAAACCAACCCCGTGGAGAAGTACTAAATCTAATGAGCTTCCAAATATACTTCTTAGCTCTTACCACCCCTAAAGAGCTCTTTCCACTCCTAAAGATTCTATTATTTCTATCGATTCAAATCCTCAAAAAATAACAAAGAAGCACCTCACCCGGGCACCTAACCTGTTTGAACTAGTGTAATCTTGTGATTTTATTCTTGTATCTATTCAATAATGGTATTTGAAATATGAATATTTCAATTTTTATGGTGCAGCTAATGGTTCAGACATCATTGGATAAAGAAACAATGAAATCTGCTATCTTAACTTGTACCAACAGGGTAGAGTAGCAGATTCTTGATTTTATGAAGCTTTCACTTCAAAGGAAAACTTGATTGTGAATTGTAGAAAGGCACATAAAAGAAAGCAGCATTAGATCTGATCCTCTGATTAGAAGAATAGGAAAATAGCTCTCTTCCAATTTGCTTCATAGTGAGAAGAAGCCTTTGTAATTTTTTTTGCCCAATCTCTTGTGGGGAAGTAGAAGGAATGAACTCAGCTACTATTTATTGAAATACAACCACATGATGGTATTTTTCTTCACTCAAAATAGAAATTCAATATCGTTCTGTGTGTAAATTCATTGTTGTTATTAGGTTAAATGATAAATTGAATTAGTATATACTTAAGTGATGTGTTTATTCTGTTGCCAATTTTAGGAAGTTTTAATTATATTTCTAAACTTTAGACTGTGATTTAGTTTAACTTTTGTTATAAACACCGCTTATAGGATGCTAACGAAATATATATGCTGTCAAAATTTTGGCTAAGTTGGTCTGAAATAAGTCAATGATTCAAAATTTTAGAGAAATAATTGAAACTTTTCTTAATTAAGAGACTAAATATGCAGAATATTCAAAATACCTTTGCTAAATCTATCACTTAATCTAATGGTAAGCCCATGTTACAAAGGGGGTACAGGTCTTTCTAAGTCTTCGATTTTTTTCCCCATTTTGGAGATGGGGAAGAATTTAGGGTTGGTTATACATGTAATAATAAAATATTTTTTCTTTTTTCTTTTATTTTTTTAATAAAATAACATTATTGATAGTCAAATATATCAGTTTAAACGTAATTAAATTGGTTCAAGCATATATATATATATATATATATATCTCTCGTATTTTGAGGTTACATGTTGAAAAAAGAAACTAAAATTTGAAATGAGAATTGATGTGACATTACCCCATTCTTCTAGATAGAAACAATAAATAGTATCAAAGGAAATAATATATCTTTCATAGGGTTGTCTATGTAATTTTTTTTTTCTTTTTTACTTTTGTCTAACAAAGGAAAAACTCCAACCACTCCATAAAGTTTTAGATATTGTTTATTAAAAGTTTAAATGACAACTTTAGACCTTAAACTTTTAGATAAATTTTTAAACTTTTAAAATTATTTAAAGGTTTCTAATACAACATGTAGGGTTGAGGATTGAATTTCCAACCTCTTGGTTTATCGAATTATTCAACAGTTTTCTAAACTTTTATTTATATATCTACTATATTTTTACCCTTTAACGTGTCATTCAACTTTTAATTTAATTTTTTTCTTTTTAGTATAATGAGCTTTCAATTTTGTGATTATTTAAAAAGTTAATAAATCAGTGGTCTATTAGATAAAAAATAAAAAATTTAATGGAGCATAGTTTAACGTTTAACTAGTCAAAGCACGTAATCTCTATCCCATGTATTAAACTCAAAAAGAAAAAAATAATAATAAATAATAAAAGTTGAGTAGATACCATCTTTGACAGTTTTTTTAGACAAAAAGAAAATATTAAAGAGAAACACAAACATGGCTTTGGGTTACAATTGAAGTGTAGCTTCTATCCCCTTCACTTAAAAACCATGCAAGAAAATAATTATCCCATAGGATGAGATCTTAGAGGAAATGGCTTTTTTAGCTTGAATATCAGCCAACTTATTACGAGTACGATTGATGTGGATGAAATTTAACCCCTCCATGAGTTGCTTCGAAATCAAGAATATCAATAACCAGATTTGTAGTTTTATTTCGCGTTTCAATCTCTCCCTTTAGCATAAAAATTATCTCCAGATAGTTTGAAAGAATCACGATTTTACGAGACTTCAATCGATTTGCAAGACGAAGAGCCTCTTTGATGGCAAGAAGCTCGGCATGCAACTACTACCCCACTGACATGAACTTGGACAAAACAAAATATAAGAGATATTGACTTGAATGAACTATAACCCTGAATTCTATATGTGTCAGAAGTTTATTAACTTATTATACGCTTTAATAATGATCTATTATACATAATCCGAAAAGTAAAAATAATGTATCACGATTCACAGGTCCAGATTCTTCATATTTGAACTAAAAATAAATAAGCCTTAATTGCTAAAATATAAAGAAGTGTCTTCATATCATATCCCGCTCATACATTCAAACATACATATTTATTTTAAATATAATTAGAATCAACACTAAAATCCACTTAGAAAAAAAAGTACTTTTATTATCGCCCAACACTGCATAATCTATAAACACACAAAAAGATCCTAAAGGAGCATTTTATGCAGAGATATGGGAAAGATTCTAACTTTTGAAGTATGGCAAAGTGCTGACCCAGAAAGATAAAAGAAGAAAATGAAAGGAAAAAAAAGCAGCAAAATTTGTGAAAGAAAAAACAAACCCAGGTGGGAAATAAAGAGAGATTAATTAAAGGAGACGAGGGTCCATCTTTAAGATTAATTAGATTGATAATTTGATTTCCCCCCAAATTTAAGTCCTTAATCACGGCTTTTCCTTTTTTGGGTGTCTTGTCGGGTTGTGTTCTGTCTCCTTTCTTCTGCTAAAACATCAGGGCTCATTCATGGAGTCATGTGATTCTTCTTTTTCTTTGACGAAAGTGCCCTTGCCCTTCTTACATTATCCCCACTCCACCCCACCTTCTCAGCCTAGCCCAGCCCTTCTCTTTGCTTGCAGTGCAAGTGCCACTTCCACACCTAAGCCCTGAAGAAACTCCACTCTTGCATTTTCATATTTCCCCATTTAACTTTCTTGCCCATAAATTTATTTTATCCCCTTTTTGGCCCTCTCCCTCTCTCTGTTTCTGGGTGTGACATTGGGGATAAGGAGGCAAAAGGAGCAGGAGGAAAATGGGGATGGGAACTAGCATCTTTATCATCAGATGGATCAATTTTCTGACCATGGTATGGTTTGATTCCTCTTGATTTTTTCTTGTTTTTCTTTCTGAGATGGCATTTCTATGTTACATTGCTTAAGAACATCTGTTCTGTTTTTGCTCCCATGTCTTTGGATTCTGTATCCCCTCTGTCAGATGTCCTGTACATGGGTTTTGTTTGTGTTGTTGTGATGTTTTATGGGTTTTGCCAGCATGTCTGTTGAAAATTTTTCTTTTGTTTTGTCTGTTGTGGCTTGAGGTACTTGTTCTATTGTCTTTGACATTGGATTGAATAGTTGTTTAGCTTTTTCAAATTATTCATGCTTGTTTCACACTGTGTTTTTTGGAATACAGCTTTGTGAACTTCTCCTTCTGATGTCAAATAAAATAGAAGGATAATTTATGTTTTTGTTCTATGAGATTTGGACTTCCATTTATATTCAGTTCTCAGTGTTTCAGTATCTGATAGTTTGGTTCCTCGGAGAGACTCGTTTATAGCTACATATATATGTATTATATATACTTGTAGTTCTTGAGTTTTGAACTTAGTTTTTATTTAGCTCCTAACATTTCAAAATTGATCCTGTAGTTAGTCAGAAACAACAATAGAGGTGTTTAAGTAGACTTTATCCATCACTAAGAAACGAAAATAGAGTTGTTTAAGTAGACATGATGAATTGAAACTAAATGATAGAAATGAAAATGGAGTTCTTATTCTTTTGAGTTTGACTGTGCATCCCTAAAAATCTACCAATGTTTGAGGGGAAAGAAATGAGTCGAGACGTCTTCCCGAGCTCAAGAATCAAGAGAGACTATAATGATGTTCTCGAATTGACATTAATCAAGAAAGGGACATATTTACAAAAACAAGAAAGGGACATATTTACAAAAAGTTCAGCTAGATAAATCCACCTACAAGCTAGAAATCATATTACATCAAGAACAACCTTCACATCCCTACTATTATTATAAAAGAAATACAAGATTTGAAGATGATCTAATTCAATGGGTTATTGGAGCAGGGTTTTAAAAATTAGTTAACTAATTGAATCACTCTATATCTTCTTTTTACAGCTTCTAGCTATTCTTGTCATAATATTCGGGATATGGATGGGCTCTCACCACGACGGTTGTCGAAAATCTCTCACTTTTCCTGTCATGGGACTCGGTGGATTTATCTTTGTGGTGTAAGTTTTCTATCTGTTTAGGAATATAATCTGATTCACTCACCCAATCTTATTGTTACCAATATTTTTGATCCAGGTCCATAGTTGGTTTCTTGGGCGCTCTTAAGAACAATTCCATATTGCTGTGGATTGTATCCTTTTTGATGAAAACTTACATTAATGGTTTGATATCAATCCTCCCTGATCTTGCTCGACCTTGACCTTTCTGCTCGCAGTACCTGATCATGTTGTGCATTACGTTGATCGGTATTCTGGTGTTTACAGTGCTGGCGTAAGTACATGTCCGAAGTAGTTTCATAATCAAAACCCATGATTGTAATTTGTAACTCATCACATGTTCTTGTAGTTTATCATATCACATATTCCCCCTTCAAGATATAAAAGGAAGTATCAACATTGCATGACTCACACTTCCTCTTTCCGAATGCTTTAATCTTTACTTTGCTGGCTTTGTAGTTGGTATGATTATGTACTCTTCTTGGTTCTAAAGTAATCATTTGAATTTCATTTAGGTTTATTGTTACGAATAATGGATCGGGACATTCCGTTGCTGGCCTGAGGTGAGGATATATTTAATTCATCAACCAACCAAAAGTGCATTTTGTTTAAATTTCTGTTGAGGATACTTAATTGAGAGAATGGAAATTATTCAACTTTTTATCTATACTAATAAGAATAACTGTTGCTGACAATTCTCAAAGCTCGGTACTTGTTACATCGATAAGTTGGCATTTCTATGATGGACTGAATTTTATTTTTCCATTTTTTCCTATTGATAAGGTATAAGGAGTATCAACTACAAGACTATAGTACATGGTTTCTAAAACAGGTGAGAACTATGTAACTTTTCGTGGAGGGAGAGAGGGAGATTATTCATTTCTGCTAACCTTGGCTCGATCCTTTCAGCTTAATAATACCGATAACTGGATGCGTTTGAAGAGCTGTCTCGTCAAATCCGACGACTGCAATGATCTCTCAAAAAGATACAAGGTCCTTGTTTCAAGCTCGGCTGATTCATGTTACAGACTATTTGATTTTTCTAATAATCTCTCTCTCTCTCTTTTTTTTAAGTCGTTTTGTTTGACAATTTCAGACTCTCAAGCAGTACAAGTTAGCAAAGCTGACGCCAATCGAAGCCGGTTGTTGCAGACCTCCATCTGAGTAAGTGTAACTTTCAAGTTCTTACTCTTTTTCTTCCATTTTTATAACTGCGACAAAGGAAAGAAGAAACTAAATGTAAATCCGTGACCTTTCCAATATGGCCAAAGACTTACTTTTTGTTCTCTGCAATTTTTGATGAAGTGAATAACAATTTATCGCTGTGAATTCGACTTTGTTTCGGACAATGTTTCGAAAATGGCTAATTCTCGTCAGTGATACTATCTTTCTGGTGTTCTGATACGACTGACAGATGTGGTTATCCTGCTGTTAATGCATCATACTATGACTTGAGTTTTCATCCTGTTAATTCAAACCATGACTGCAAACTATACAAGAATTCCCGGGCAGTCAAGTGTTACGATTGTGATTCTTGCAAGTAAATATCAAGTAACCTTATTCTTCCATTCTCCGTCCACCCTTCTCCATCCCCGTGGAAATTTGCATGGTCATTTCATTGTTTGATCATTCAGGGCTGGAGTTGCACAGTACATGAAGATTGAATGGCGATTGGTTGCGATCTTCAATGTCATTCTATTCGTAGTCTTGGTGAGAACACTTTCTATTGTTAAAAGGCCTTTATGGAATCCTCACTGATTCAGAAAAAAACGTTGAAAGTTTGTATATCATTATATGGTGCTAACGACCATATCGATGTATGTTTTGTTCTTTCTCCTTTTTTTTCAGGTATTTTCCAATTTCTTTTCTTTATTAGTACTTGGTCTTATATTCGTTTCTTTTAACTCTTACTTGGATTTCCATTTCCAGCTGATCATCTACTTAGTTGGATGCTGCGCCCGACGAAATGCTGCGAGGAATCGGTCAAAAGGATAGCGGGATACTGGTTGCTGAAATATCAAATCAAACCGTAGTCCTCTTATGCATGTAAGTGATACCTTTTGGAAGTAGAATTTTTTAGCAAAAGAATGAAGTTTGTCATTCCTGCTGCCATGTTTGTATGTATATAGTTCGTTCTTTAACAAGTACAGCGACTAATATCCGTTCTGGTATCACCTGTATTTCGACTATGAACCATTATTTTCTTGCACAGAATGCCCACTCGGTTCTCGATTGTGAATACCATACCGTTCTTGATCTCGTTGCTGTATAATCTTATCTTGGTTGAATGATGTATGATTTTTCATTTTCTATCTTGCTTACCACCCTGCAAGAGAAAAAAACCGCTCTCTCTAGTAAGAAACTCATTCGCCAAAGACAATTCTTTGGGACCGAATCCGGGTTTATTTTCCCACAGTATAGGTAAACAAACAGCAGAAGAAATTGTGGAGTTACTACCATTTAGAACTGAACCAATGCATAAAACATATAAAAAAAAAGAAAAATAGAAAAGTGGTCAGTGGGTAAAATGCAGGAAACTGATACCATCTTTATACATAAAAATGTAAAAAAAAAAAAAAAAATCCCTTGAAGGTCATCTCCTGCCAAAAACTCAAAACAAAACCAAGCCAAATACTAAAATTAGAGTGCAAATCGGAGATGGGAGTTCTATATTTTACTTTTTTCACCCCCAGCTTCTCAACCACTGAAGCATTTGAGTAGTAGATTCTTCGGGGTGAACCCCGAAGAACGGTATTTTGCAGCGGTCTCCTCGACCTTGAGATATTGCTCTCTTCGCTCTGCCTCAATGGCTGCTTTCTTCTCTTCGCCTTGCTTGTGAATTCCAACAATTTTGTTCTTCATTTCTTCGACATACTCCGCTTTCTTCTTCTCCATTTTCTCCTTCATTCCCACAAAAACCAAACGCTTCAAAACTCATATCGAAAAACCAGGGCCAATGTACTTCAGCCAAAAGCAAATGTACCTCTATCTTCATCAGCTGTGCTTCTATGGAGGCTTTTTTGCCGTCCTCCCAAGAGTCAATGGCAGAGAGCCTTTTGTATGCCCTGTTCCAAAGATTTCAAACATGAGCTCAAAAAAATAAAATAGCCTTCAAAACATGGAGAGAGAGATTCCTCTGTCTTACTTGTTCTCTGCTTTGATCTTCTCACTCTCCTCCCACGCTTTGATCAAGGCCAACTTCTTCTCCCACTCGACTCGAGCTAACGCAACGTCTGAGAAAACGAAATGCAAAACAATTGCATCTTAAATTCCATTTGATAACGATTTCTTTGTTCGGTCTCTACTCTTACAAAAAACACTTTTGAAATCTTATCCAAAGTTTCAAAGAAAAAGACTTCAAACCTTTAAGGTTTTGCTTGAAATTTAAATATTGTTTTAGTGAAGAAACTAAACAGAAAATGGTTGTCTTTACCTCTATCCTTTGAAGCATCTGTTTTCTGAGCAGAAGGATCTGAAATTTCTGTCATTTTTTTTTTTGTAACAAGAGAAAAGATCACATGAAGCAGAGAATTTATAAGAGGAAGAAAATGGTTTAAAAAAATACATAATTTTTTAAAAAATTCTTTATAGTTTAATGAAGAATGTAATAATAAGAATAATTATTATCTTCTTGACAGTTGGTTGCATATTTATTTCCAAATAAGACCAATAAAAAGGGGGAAAACAAATAAATTGCCATTGTTTTCTTTACAAATATTGCTTTAGGAAATGTTTTGAATTGAAACTTGTGAGAACAACCCGAAAAAAACAGAGGCAATAAGCAACATTCTTCATATTATTATCAACCAAAAAAACCGATTTTTATTTTTAAAAAAGTTAAATTGTAAATTTAGTCTCTAAAGTTTGATTAAACTTTACAAATCGATCCTAAATCTTTTTTTACCTATAAAAAAAAATCCAATACAGGCTGATTATACACACATAGAAAACGTATTTACTAGTGCATGAGGACTAAATTGGAAATCAGTGGAAACTGTAAAGGCTAAATTTGTAATTTAATGAAAGAAGATAAAAATAAAATTTAAAAACTGTCAAAACAGCCTCTAATGAAACTGGTTGGACAAAATTACCGTATAGAAAACCTGCAGAGAAAAGGGAATAAAGCTGTGAAGTAGGAAAAAAGCTGAGCACTCATTCAGTATTAACAGATTTCAAAAGCCACTTTTTTCCCTTTATATTTGACAGAATTAGGAAATTTAATTCAAAAATAAGTTGAGGGGCTGTTTGGGAGTTGTTTTAACAATTTTTTTAGAATAAAGTATTTGGTAAAAATATTTGGAAAATTATTTTATTTTAAGTAAATAAAGCATTATTGTTGTAAATAATGGTGGAAACTATGTAATAGCAGTTAAAAAGGACTTTCTAGTCTCTGCACAATTATTGAAGAAATTTCCATTAACAAATAACAATCTACCATATAATTTCCATTTAATATTTGTCCTTTTTGAATTTTCTTTTATTTCCATCTAATTTTAACTTTTCCAGAGCATCATAATTTCGAGTCATGGCGGCACATCTAAATAATTGTACTCAAAAAAGGGAAAAAAAATTAAGTTTACTCCTATTATTTCTAACAAATTCCTAAAACTTTGAAAAGAATAATGTCTATTTAATTCTCATTATTTTAAAATTTTTCGTGAGCTCCTCAACTTTTAATTTTATTTTTAATAGTTAACCGCTTCTAACATTTTTTTTTTACCTAAAATAAAAATGAGCATACAAGACCTAGAAAGACAGATATTCAAAGTTAATGAGTAAATCAAAACCTCAGTTTAAATCTTATTTTAGCCCTTTAAATTTTAGGGTTCTTTTAGTTGGAAACTAAACTTTCAAAATGATTTTTTAAAGTATATTTTAGCCCACAAACTTTTAAGAAAAAAAAACATAATTTCTTTGATTCTTGTTATATTATTTCACCACTTAACATCTGCTTACTCTCGTAGGGTTTCAATAAAATGGTAAAAGTAAGATAAATGTAATGGTTATTTTATGAAAGTGTAAGAGAATAACGACATATTGTGAAAAATCAAAAATAAAAATAAAATAAATTTAAAACTTTACGAGGAAGAAAATGAAAAAAGGAAATAATCGCGAAGAACGCAAATAAAATTTAAACCTAAAAACTAAATCATTAGACTAAGAAAAGATATTGAAGACAAAATTTATAATTTAACCTAAATCATTTTAGCCTCTAACAAGTAACAACAAACCTCACTTCAATAAAATAAAATAAAATCTCTAAACCACGAAAACAAAAAAAAACCATTTTCTTATAAAAACTCGTGAATTCGAATCTCCACCTGTACTTATCAAGTAAAAAACACATGCACTAGAGATAGAGAGAGAAAAGAAAAAAGAGTAAAAAATTTGGAAAGGAAAAAGTTACTGACTGTGAAGAATAGGAGGAGGAGGAAGGGGGACGATGGGGGTGTTGTGTTGAGCGACGTCGTTTTGAGGAGTTTCAGTCTCAGTCTCCTCCGCCTCGGCGCCCATAACGTACTCCTTCAGCTTAGCCACACTTCAAGTTAGAGAGAGAGAGAGAGAGAGAGAGAGAGAGAGAGAGAGAAGTTTGTTGGTTTTTGTTTGGTGGATATATTGAGATTTGAGTGAGACTATATCTGTACTCCCTTTCCCTTAAGTGGAGGGGAGTTGGTCTTTTGAACCTTTCAAATTACCTTTTTCCTTGAAATAAGGATTTCCTCTATCCAATTTGAAACTCCTTAAAATAATTGAGATTTTTAATATTTGACGAATCAGTACATGCTACTTAATTACCGCTCAATTATGCTTTTAAAAATACTGAAGTGAGATAGCGATGAAGACTCATTTTTCCTTAATAATTTACCTATGATTTTTAACGACCTTTTGACAAGAAGGAAAAAGAACCCTTTTAATGATCACTTCAAAGAAAATAATTACCGCTCAATTATTGATATGAGAATGATATATACACAATATAGACGTCTAGAATGATTCTTTTCCTCTGTGGTTTAATCTCCACAATTTCTCTCCCAATTCTAACATTACTGCGATCAACTTCTTAGAGATGTTAAATATATGAACAATAAAAAGTAATTTTACTTACATTATAGTGACTATTCTTACATCATGATCTCATCAAATTCTTCGAGGTTTTAAGCATATTCCAACTCGGAATTATAAATATTATATTTATATGTTTGCTTTATCCAATAGAATTCGCATGGTCAATTGATGACTAATCCTTTAGCTTTTTGTAACCTTTTTCTTGTAGATGGATATTTGTAGCAAATCTCATCATCTATATGTTTAGGTTTTTCTCAAAAATTTGTGCATTTTTTTTTTCTTTAGTAATATTTTGGGATGAGTTAGATGATGAGTTTGCAGTGCAATTAAGATTATGCCAATTATATTACCATTTGATCAAAGGTCCCATAAATTGACCAATAAATGGAAAAGAAATTTCAGTTGCTAGTATATATAGTTGAGCCCTTTTGGGCATTAGGTAAAGCGTATTATGTATCCAGTACGTTCATTGCATTGTCTTTAATTATAATGAATGTGAAACACTTACTAAGTTAAATAATAACTTAAGTCATTGCATGATGGAATATAAATGGAAGTGATTAATTAAAATATCATGATTCGCATCTAAGATTAATCATTGGATCGATAGATGTCGGCTGACGGCTCCATCTCATTACAATCCGACTGTGAGTCTCCTTAGTTCGTAAAAGGCGAATCTCAAATCATGAGCGAAAGAGATCTCCTCTTTAGAACAAGTCTTGATTATTGAGACGTTATTTTTCTTCTTTTTTATTCTTGTAATTTTTTTTTTCATCTAGGAGACTCCTCATCCCATTGAAATGATTTTTCGAAAAGAGGTATGAAATAGTAATACTCTCCTCAAAATAAGATTATGCCAAATTTTTTAAAAATAGTAATATTTTGAAAATACAACTTCCATAAAATATCATTAAATGGTTAATAAATAAAAAGAAAAAGTTAAAATCATCAATTGAAGATGCTTTTTTATTTATTTATTTATGTTTTTGTCTTTTAAAAAGATTATAATTTGTGTGTACTACAATTATTTTTTTAAAATAAGATTCCAAACTACCTAGTATTCCAACTAAACTTTTAAAAACTATATGATTATTCATTTAAAAATTGATAAAATCCTTTAATTTTATGGTCACATGAGCTAATCAACTTTTTGTTTGGAATTTTGGATTAATTTGTTTGGGTTGCCTCAAGGTCAAGTAATGTATGTCATGTGATGTCAACTCTACAACTCTCCATAATTTGAGTCATATAGTTTTTCTTTTAATTAACTTTTTAAGCCTTGAAGCAATCCATTTTGGTCCATTAGAGAATTGTTTTCAAATTATCTTAAGGTTTTAATCATTACATTTTAATGGTTAATGAAATTGTTGTTAATGATAAAGTTGGTATCTAATTATTATGGGATTAAAGTAATTCATGTAGGGATAGTTTGTTTTACTGAATAATTTAAAGACGCTCAATTTAAGTATAACTTAGTAGATAATTAAGACACTCATTACATTTTAAGACTAGAGGTTCATCATTATATTTTTATTTTCTATCTTTATTAAAAATTAAAAAAGCTTACTTTATAAAATAAAAAACTTAAAAAGTGAAAAACGTTATCCAACAAAACTCAATAAATTTATTTTTCTTTTGAATATGGAAATTTGAACCTACAATTTTTTGATCGATCGAGAATATATACCTTAATTATCAGTTGAGCTATGTTCAAGTTGACAATAAATTTATTTTTTTAAACCACATACATATAATGATTGAAATTTCTTCTTCTTCCCTTTTGAGGCATTTTCAACGCTAATTATCTTCCTCTAACGTATATAAAAATCAACATATTTATCTATAATATTAGAGTCGCTATTTATTAGTGTAGTTTTTCGAAGAGTGAAAAATTTCCAAATTTTACCCGGGTGCAAAATTAGTTTACTTATCTCAAACAATGAGTTTATCGATTTCACGAGGTACTTTTTTACAAATGATGACAGACATACGAACCTCCCAAAAAAAATTAAATTACTCAAATATATTCCATGTTAAAATCGTGAGCCAAAGCGATGGAAAGACAAAGTAGAAACTATGTTTTAGAAACAGCCTCCCACACAAATCATATATATTCCTCAAGAAAATAAAATAGGGGAAAAAAGTTTGTCAAAATAATAATAATTAATGGATTGATTCCCTTAATTAGAATCTAAACTTTTGCAAGAACATGGACTAATTTCAAAAGATTGAAGTTAGCCCATTGTATTTTAATTAATTTAATAGCCAAGAACAAAACCATTTATAGATTTCAGTTATTTTTCTTGGAATTTGTGGTGAATGACCTATTTCTTAATAGTTATAGCTTAGACCACCGTATTAAAAGAGGACCATATAATAATACTATTATGTAACATTATATTATTTTGGTAGTTGTATGCATTTATGTGCGACTTTATATCTTCTTTTTTAGGCAATAATCATATAATGTGATTAATGTCCGTATAAGCTAGTTATACAGCTGTGTACAACATAATTTTTAATTAATAAAATTTATTTAAAATTTTCAATTATGTTTTTTTTTTCTAAATCATTTTCATTAATTATTTTGTTTTCTTCAATGGTTAAATCAATCTAATTCAAAATTATACTTCAATAATTGTTTGTGAAATTGAAAATGTCTATTTCTCTTAATTTTTTTGCTTCTTTTTATTTTATTTTATTTCATTACCATAAAAAATGTTTTTCATACCATTGTTGTTTATTTCTTATTATAGTTTCTTGTATTATCAAAATTTTTATATGATTTAGATTCGGGCTCTAACGTCCAATGCTCTGACAACCACGTAATGTTAAGTCCAATACACTCCAATGTCCAAGTTAGACAAAAAATTTAGTTGTGAGTATAAAAAAAATAGGGTTGTAAAATAATACCTTGGTCTTATACTTCTTCTCTTATTTATAGAGAGAGTCTAGCTTCTCGAGTTGGTTCAGATGGACCGACTTGACCTCGTTGGATCTAGTCTAGTTGCGTAGGTCAGTCCGGGCAACATGACCCGAGTGGTTCAACCACGTCGCTTCCTTGACTCTAGTCTAAGTGAATCTAGTACGACATTTTGACTCATAACACTACCTCCACATTTCGAAATGGTTTATCTATCGATTCGATTTGGTAAGTATAAGAAAAAAAGTCAAGACCAGAGGAGGGAAGAGATTTATTCTCCATCTTTGTCCCCCAAATTGGGGATTTCCGGAATCAATTCCTCAAAAGTACTTTTGTATCATTTCTCTTCAAGACAATAACAAAATTATAATATCCATATATACAAACTTACTTTTGAAATTTGAGAAGAGAGATTGGTCCATAATTCTCATTTACCAACTAAACCTTGTCGTTATCTGTCCAAAAAGTTAGAATATCATATAATATAAAATCCTCTTTTTTTTTTTGACACAAATGAGAATAGACATTCACGTGAAAGTTACACCACAATTGGTAAGAGACTTATTCAAAGAATGGCAAGTAAAAAGCAAGGGAACCTTCATAATCAAAGCTAAAGCTGCCACCTGAATTGCTCAGGATGGTCCTTTAAAATTTACCCCCTTAGATTTCCCATCGTATTTAAGTTGTAATACTGGCTAAAAGGAAAAAAAAAGAATGGTATGTTCTTACGAAGGGTATAGTTCAATTGGTCAATATATTCGTAGTTAAAGTAATCGTGCAATCTTTGCTCTCATGTTTGAACTGTAATATTGAAAAAAGAAAGAGAGAGAGATTTTATAAGATTATTTTATTTTATTTTAATTCGTTGCAAGCTCATTTTGTCAAATATGCAAATTTTATCAAACAGTACTTTACTTAAAGTATCTATGAGTCAGTATTTATCAATTACAAGATTTCAATACATTGTAGAACTATGTTAGTACATCTTCTCGTCAAACGACCACTTTTTTTTTTTACCTTGTTCAAATTAGATATTCAAGATATTGACACATGGCATGATCAAGTAATTTCTAGAAATATCTAAAAATTGTCCTGGCAATTTTATTCATACTCGCACTCACACATTTTCCACCACTCGAGCTAATAGCCATCTGATTACGTACTACTTATAAGTAGCCACTCGCCTCCAATGGTCTGAAACACATCTGGCGAGTGTCATGTTATTTTTCTTTGGCGCGTGTCTCAGACCAATACCAACCATATCAGACATGTTACACATTTTGTTTTTTAGGTCCCCAACGTCTACTTGATTATAATTTGTTACCCGTTGAATATAGCACGTATGTGGCAACGGAAGATTGGAGGAAATATTTTTATTTTGTGTCGGCCAATCAGGTATTGACATGTAGCCCTACAAAAAAAAAGGAAAAAAAAGGTTGAATTATTTTGAGGAGTTATTTGACTTGTAATATACTGCCTCCCAATTTTCCCCCTTTGAAGTTTAGTTTTTAATTAATTTTAAAGTTTATGTTGGATGAGTCTCGAATTTAAAATTTGTATAATAGATTCTTAAGCTTTCAATTTTATATCTAATATAGGTCTCTAAACTTAAAAAAATGTCTACTAAACT